GAGTTCCAATAAGCGATAATGAGGGTGAAAGGCAGTATCTTCAAATACTCCACAGCAATCATGATGTTAGGAAAGAATCATCGATGGAGGGTAAAATTAGAAGGGAGGATAGTCACATGGTCTCAAAAGGTATTCCCAACAAAAGCTAGCCAGTTACAGGGAAAACGCTTTACAGTCGAGAAATCCCGGCTGATGTCACTTTAACCAAATGATCCCAGTCAGTGTCAGTCGAGGCTGGACAAGTTAACACTGGGCGCGTCTTGCTATGAAACAGTAAGAAACTCACAATGTGACTTCGAGAGCAGTTTACAAAGGCACGACCCAAATTTATTCACGAAGGAACCTTAGAGGAACCCAAATTTTAAAGACTGATTTTAAAAAAAGTCTGGCCGGGCGGTGGTGGCACACGCCTTTAACCTCACCACTCGGGAGGCAGAGGCAGGCGATCTCTGTGAGTTCAAGGCCAGCCTGGTCTACAGAGCGAGATCCAGGAAAGGCGCAAAACCCTGTCTCGAAAAACAAACAAGCAAACGAAAACCAAAAAAAACCCAAAACCAACCAAACAAACAAACAAAACCTGGCCAGTATTTTTTTAAAGAGTCATTGATGACAGAGGAAGACTGAGGAGGCATTCTGGACTTCAGCGACAGACACCGAGCAAGCAAAGCAGCTGGGATAAAGACGGAAGGAGGCCTTTGTGCTCCAGGTCATGCACGACAGGATTGGTCTTGGAAGAGACATGACAAGAGCGTGTGTGTCACCCTGGCTGAGACCCGGGAATTCAGCGGGAGAAGTGGTAAAATTTGCATCAAGCTTGTTGGCCACGAATAGAATCGTGCCAATATTAATTTCCTGGTTTTGATCACTGAAGTTATGTAGGCCGTTAACATTTGAGAATCTGCTGCACTGTTTGGGTGACTTCTTTATATGGGTAAAACTCATTTGAAAATGAAAGTTTACATTTCTATTTTAAAAGTCTTAAGACAGCAGCAAGGACAAATGAATTATTGTTGAAAATCTAGCATAATATATGGGGCTGTTTAGTAAGCAAGACAGCAATAGTGCAGGGTGACGGGATGGGCTTTGAAACCATTCAGATATGGGCTCAACTCTGGCCTTGTGTAATGCAGACTAGTTAATCTCTATAAGCTTCAGTTTCCTTGCCTGTGAAATGGGTGGTCATAATAACACCTACTTTATATGATTTATTATTACTGCCAATATTTATATCTATATGATGATTACTTCTAATATTCATAAGGAACTTATTTTAAGCTCAGCCAACAGAATTTTTAGCAGTTGTTGTTGTTATTGTGATGATGGGCCACATCAATGACTAGCTGACTCCTTGTAAACAAACTACCTACTGTGTACTGACAGGTCTCCTAAAAGCCAGAGAGATACCCCATAAATTATGCTTCTAATATTTTTGAGGTACCTCCCTGTAACTAAATACCACACATGGACATTTGAACTTACAAAACTCACAAACACCAATTATGTTTTTAAAAACCTGATTTATAGGTCTCTCTTGAGGTTTGCTTTCAATTTTTGGAGTGGCAGGTCTATGCCACAGGACAATGGTTTATGTATTGACTTAAGCAGACTTAGAAGGACTACCACTGGGCGACTTAAGTCTGTGGAGACGCTGGCTTAATACTAAGTCTTAACAACATCGACTCTTCCAGAGGGGCAAAGAGAAGCCAAACTCCCTGGCTTGTCTTTTTAAAGCACACTCTGAACTACTCAGATGTGATGACATAGACCAAATATTTGAGGTTAAGGATTGCTTGTAGGTTCATGCCTTCTCCTTTAATCCATTTCTTGAGATAAGTCCAGGATAAATAATGAGCAAGCACAGAAGGGTGAGTGTGGCTAAACATGATCCCATTCCAGTGCTAAGTCAAACACTGAGATGTCTGGTGTTTCTAACAATGCATGCGTTTTCGGAGAAGGATGTAAGATCAAGGGTCTTCCATGGCAAATATTCCATTTATAAATAAGGAGTACAAACCATCACAAACAAAACATGCCACTCTGCTGTCTTGTAAATATTTCCAATAACAATTTAAGGCTAAGAACAAAGGCTAAATTCCTGAATAAATCCTCTTATCTTCCAAATCTGGTCTCAGGTTTTAGAAACCCTCACTTCTGGATATTAACCAAAGAGAGTTTCCATCCAGCCACTGAGGAGGGCAGGTCAAATTCATGCTAATTTTAACCTAAGCAGAGACATTTTCTAATCCCTTTCTGAGTCCTTGTTGATCCCTGTGTACTCTGAGGGTGGATTCCAAAGCACCTTCATGTGCTTGGAATGGACTTCTAACTGTAGCTAAGATCCAGAGTATCAAGCCAGTATTATCTAAGTCATTGTCCCCATCCCCATGGTCATCCAGCCTCCCAGTTCTACAATCCAGCCTCCAAAGCAGCAGACTCCATTCTTTAAGATTCCTCTTCATCTTGGCTTTTAAATTTCATGACTAGAAGCTTCTTCCAATGGGTCCTTTGTTTTTCTGATTATCCTTTTTCTTCCTTTTGTTCTATTTTATTCTACTTATTGTTTTGTTTGTTTGTTTCAGAGCGGGTCTTGTTATGTATCCCAGGTAGGCCAGGAACTCATTTTTCAGCCCAGGTTAGGCTCCAATTTGTGGCAATCCTCCTGCTTTAGACTCCCAATAGGACTCTCTTATTGTCTGTTAGTACTGTTTTTGCTCGTTGCTCAGTTTCATTTGAGGGAGAAAAGGTTTATTGTGCCTTGTGAACCACTAAGGTAAGTTTCATAAGTAGAAGAACTCTGCCTCATGTAAATTATATGTGTCATAATTAGGGTATAAATTTTCACTGAATCAGCAAATAGTACTATATTCATTATTACTTCAGTTAAAATACATCTTGAGCAATTCAACACTTTATGTAGTTCCTATAAATTGCATAATAAATGTGAAAAATCTTCATTTATAAAACAAGAGGACTAATTACCTCAGCTTGTTTTCATAATTCTCTTGCTGTTGAGGATCACTCATTAATTTCATCCAAGTATTAGCCACGCCTTCGGATGGGCTAGAGCTGTATACATGATGGAAAAATCCACCCCCTGCTCTGACTTGAGTCTCGTTTCCTTGAGTTATCTGGTGCTACTTTCTCCAGTTTGTTTCTTACATAATCATAACACCTGGACTTAATTTGGAACTTTTATTTCTGAGGCATTTTCAGATATATCATATCATTTGTTATGCTGATTATACACGCTGAGAAACTACCGGTGAGTCACGTGACCAAGATCAAAACCAGAACTACAATAAGAAAAGTCCTTGGATTTAATAGTCATGTTCTTTCTTCATCGCCATAATTAGTAAGCTCTCCTTTGGGATGCAATTAACTGTTGGAATTGTATTTTGCTTACTTCCCACACTGTTCAACTTGGGGGCACTCCTGTTGCATAAGGTAAAGGGTGTCTCTTGAGTTTCCGAGAGAGGAAAACAGCAGAAGCCGTAGTTGGTTACTGTACATTTGGCCAACAGACATTCAGTGAGTGCCAAGTACAACACATTGAGCCACCTTCAGACAGTAGAGCAGTCAAGCTTACACAGCTCAAGCCCTCATTGGGTAGAGAGTCCTGTGCAAGCGCAGGTCAGTGTTACACAACCTAGGAAGCGCGGATGAGCAGGCGCAGCAACATACTTGGGTTCCCCCAAATGATTATGTCCATCAGGACGCAGAATTGAATTTCTCAGATTGCCTCGATCGTTGTACACTGGCTGAAATTTATCAGTCTTGTTTTTCCTCCTCATTCCCCAGGCAGCATCCCTTCATTTTAAGTTGTCACTTCCAAATAACTCTGCATTTCAGAGGAGATCTCAACACTGCCATAGGCACAGACCACTCTCAAAGATCTGATGGATCCTCAGTGGTCCACTAAGCTCGATAAATTTGCCCTCCCCTAAGAAGTAGACAGTTGTCCCTATTATATCGCCAGTGGTGCAGGACAGGACCAGACAAACAAGTGCCACAGGGTGGATTTCTTCCTTAGAAATACACACCTTTAATCCCAGCACTCGGGAGGCAGAGCCAGGCGGATCTCTGTGAGTTCAAGGCCAGCCTGGTCTATAGAGCGAGATCCAGGACAGGCATGAAAACTACACTGAAAAACTCTGTCTTTAAAAAAAAAAAAACAAATGAAGAAGAAGAAGAAGAAATAGAAGAACTAGAAGAAAGAAGAGGAAGAAGAAGAAATAGAAGAAGGAGAAGAAAGAGAGAGAGAGAGAGGAAAGAAAGACAGACACTTTGGGCAAGCGGTATATCTTAATATGCCCAAGCTTATTTTGCCTCTAGGGTCAACAGAAGTATAAAAAGATTTCCAACTTTTGCCGGGCGGTGGTGGCTCACGCCTTTAATCCCAGCACTCGGGAGGCAGAGGCAGGCGGATCTTTGTGAGTTCAAGGCCAGTCTGGTCTAGAGAGCGAGATCCAGGAAAGGCGCAAAGCTACACAGATTAAACCCTGTCTCGAAAAACCAAAAAAAAAAAAAAAAAAAAAAGATTTCCAACTTTCTTCAGAATATGTACCAGGAGACTGGCTTAATAAAAAAGAATAACAATGTAGCAAGCAAGTTGTACAGCAAAACTAGATTAAGACACTCACAGAAAGGGTGTTTGAAAGACAAATATAATAATGTATGCCCACAGTACCAGCTCTTGGGAGGTAGAAGAAGTAAGATCAAATGTTCAAGGCCAAACTAAAGAAAAGAAAGAGTATTTGATAAAGAGATTGGACTTCCAATCAGCTCAGAATCCCACCTTTATCAAGTGATAAAATGCACATCCTTGTAGACTGGCTTAAGGGTGCTGCTATCTTTTTTTTTTTCTAAAGAGCAAATTGTACAGGGCATCTTTTTCATGGATAGATACTGCGAATACGGATGGACTGGGGAACTGCTGGGATGATAGGAGAAAGGAAAAAGAAAAGTCATCAGATTTTATACATACTACATTTCTGAATTACCACAGGTGAGAGGGAGCTGAAAGAATCCAAAATGAAGAAGGGCAGTGATTAAAAGTCTGTGCACATCTTTCTTCATCATGTCTTTTCAGAGACGCTGCTAAGAGCTCCTTGTAGTGTTCATATCACGGACTCTCAAGAGGCAGATGTTGTCTCCGTTTGTAAAGGTACAAAAGGGAGTGAAAGGACTGTTGATATCTGCAAAGGAGTTGGAGGCAAAGTCAGTTTCTAAAACCTTCACTTACTGAGCATAACTAAGAGCATCTGACCTGAGGAAGGCAAACCTATCCTTTCAAATCCAGCCCTGCAACTTAATACCTCTGTGTCTTGAGGCCACCTAACTATGGAAGTCTCAGTTTTTCTATCTGCAAAGTGAGAATATGCTACAGATTGAAAGAAAAAAAATGGCTGAATTGTTCATCATTCTTGGTATTCATTCTTATTTATTAATGATTTATTTTTATAATTTTAATGATGTATATATGGGCATATGAATGCAGGTACCAGCAGAGTTCAAGAGGATGTCAGATCCCTTGGAATTGGAGTTACAGATCCAATGTGGGTACTGAGACTTGAACTCACATCCTTTGCAAGAGCAGTACCTGCTCTTAACTGCTGATCCATCTCTCCAGCCTTGCTAGTACCCATTCTTTTGCCATGCTATCTTTCAGTTCTTCTCCAAAGAAATTAATGGCAGGGGTGTATTAAACATGCTAAGCCTTAGCCATGTGGCTTGGTTTTAGCTAATGAGATATTAACAAGCAAAAGGTTGGAAGGGACTTAACTGGATTATTCAAAGCTTGTGGGCAGAGTTTATACCTTTGCAGTAGCCTACTGAACATAACCAACCAGCCCAGCACATTGGAGGGTAAGGGATGTGGAGGAGCCGACCTGCCCCAGTCACCCTGCCTGAGACCAGGCTAGACCACACTCAAGTGAGCCGAGCTCTACATAGTGTAGCCAAGATCAGTAGATCTGTTTAGCCCTATATGCCAATGTGTTATGTGGCCACAAGGTTCTATGAGCTTTTTGTTACACAGTACTAGTGTGATGGTAAATCACCGACACCTGACACTAGTACCTATTAACTCTGCATCTACCTCATAATAACAGTCATATTGATGTGCTATTCCTTTCAATGAACAATTACAGAATATGCAAATGTATGGGAAATTCATCTACGAATCTAAAACACTATCTTTCACTGACAAGTATTCCAAAATCATGTCATTTACCAGTTTTTGTGAAGGACTAAGATGATTCAGGTATATTTTAAAGCTAATAAATATCCTGAGCTCTGTTCTACAAGGTAAGCAGTTCATTTCTTTCTACAAGATTTATACTGTTCAATATTTTTAAAACAAACCCAACCAACCCTCTGCCCCAACACACACACACACACACACACACACACACACACACACACACACACACACACAAACACCACAAAGACATTCAAATCCACAGTCTACTGAGAGAAATGGAGCCTGGCTTCATGACTAAACCTGAGTTATATTGCCGCAGGGGAGGGATGGACAGGAAACAGTGTTTACCACCATCCCTCTCCTCCCTCTCTATTTGGGCAATCCTCTCAAAGGTGGTTTAATATGATGGGAAATGGGAGCTTCAGAACCTACATTCTGGCCCTGCCCCTCTGTGATCTCGAGCAGATTAAACTTTGGAGACCTGGGTTGCCTCACTCCTTGAATGAGAAGAACCGGAACCTCCTCAGGTTGCTGCGAGGGTCCTATAAAGTCGCAGCTGTAAAAGCCTCCCAGCTGTGGCTGGCACACAGGAAACACTCAGTAAATCCTCGCCGCCCTCACCAGCTACTCCTCAGCTGAGTCCGAGGGCTTGCAGCCCCATTTCCACCTTTGCTAGATCCTGTGGGCCCCACGGCTGTCTATGGCGGGTGAGCCAAAAATGACTTGATTCAAAACAGGTACTGGCACTCTACCTGCCACGGGGCTCCCTTCAGACTCCACAGGCCAGTGGAGGAAGAGCCACACTCAATGACATAAAAGGAGAAGGGGGGGGGGGGGCCAAGGAGAATGTGGACAAATGCCAAGAATGATGTTTTTCTGTTTTTCAGAAATTCTAAGCCATCTCATCCAGCCTCTTAGAAGAAAGGGGAATTCAAAGAGATTTTCAACTTCAGGCAATAACTCTGCCCATTACCACCCAGACAAATCAAATGACGTTCCCCTAGCCAGCCAGGCAAGCAGGTGGACTGTGCTTCCTGGAGACACCAGTGTCCCTGCTGTTAGAACTATTTCTCTCATTGGTTCAGGGAAACTGATAACTGGAACTATAGTCTGCTCTCACTGTTGCCGTACTTCCCAAGTAGGGATCCAGGGGAGAAGCCACCAAATTATTCTCTCTTCTTCATGAAACCACATCCTGGTCTTTGCATCTCTTCTCCACTCCCCCCGATATCGAGGAGATGGCTGTTCGACCTCTCGGGGCTTTTGCAAGTTCTCTTGCTGTGGTCCCCAGATGCTCAAACAAGTCAAGACATCCATGCCAACGTTACAGACATTCCCAATTCTCATCTTGAGTCCCGCTCAGCTAATGCTACCCAACCCAGCAGGATGAACAATGAGTACCAGATGAAAGTGAGGCCCACATCAGTGCCAACGCTATAAAATTCCTGAAATCACTGCCACCTTATAAAAGTTAACAATACAAACTTTCTCCCATTATCAATTCAGTCTGCTGCTTCCACAGGCAAACCTCGGTCCAGAGTTTGGCTCTACTTTTTCCCGTTCCCTGGCTCTGTCACAGGCAAAGGATGGCATTTGGGGATCTGGTGGAATCTAGGGGCTTCTGGCAGCTGTGCCCTGGGCTGCCTGCCAGTATAATTAGACTAGAGACTTAACACCACCAACCACTGATTATTTCATCCCCACATCTTTTCTCTTTTCTCTACAATACCTAAGGGTCAAAAGTACACACATGACTATCACAGCATCAGCCTTTACCCCCCAGAATTCAGAAGCACAAACCAATTTCCAGTTCATACTATATCATTGATTTCCATCTGATGACAGTTCCCAAGGACAATAGGCTTTCCCAGAGCCCAGTACGGGTCATATACCAGACCTCTACTTGAGTGCCAGTAGCAGACCATTGTAAAGACTTGGGGCTGTCCAGGTCTTCAGGGACACAAATGAAGAGGACATCCGGTTCCTTCCACTGAATCCAGCCATTGAGATTGTGCCAACTGTTTGAATTCAAGACTTTGGAAGTCAAGTTGGTGAAAGAGAGAGTATCCTCATCAAGACATGAATTGTGCCATGTGCTCCTTGCTGAGCTTTGCCCACATACCTGGACCCCTATGCACTATGAAAATGGCAACTTAAAAGCAAAGACTCAAGATGATCTGTCACATCAACTGCCTGCTCCGCTGTTGCCAGAAGTAATCACCACAAAGAGATAACGCCATTGGTATTCGAATTTAAATGTTACAATAATAATAAAGCCTACGGTTGCCTTCAGGTTAGTTTATAATAAAAATAACTTCTCAATCCTGGAAAACTTATCCAGTTTCTTTCTCCTTCTCCTTCTCCACTTAATGACTGAAGTTATTATTTCCATGGTGGTCTCCAAAACCACATTTGGTTTCTATGTAGATTGGCATGTCACCTCCAGCAATTTTCCCGGCTGAATTTCCCTCTCAAGAGACTATGATTAAAATATCAATCCAGTTTCTGAACTAATTTAGCGAAAGAGTTATATAAATACCTAACACAGGAATTCTTCACTAGTATCCCCTCTTCTCTTTTAATGTCTCACAGGAAAGTTACCAAAGTGGAAACAACACATCTGTCCCCATCCTGATGGTCCTCCTGGTGTCTCAAACGTGAAAATGAGAGCATGTAAGCCCAAGTCCCACATGTACGCTTCCAATGAGCAGAAATGAACTGGAGAACATCTGGAATCTAAGCCGTGCTACCTTGGCTGCCCAGCTGTCTGGCAGTGGTGGCCTCTGCAAAAAGGGGGCATTAGACAGCGGGCTTGCTCAGTAATCCAAAAGGACAGCACCCTCTGGTAGTGTTAATTCACTTGTTTGTCCTGCTGCCTGGAAACCATCCAGAAATGCAAATCCATCACTCAGCAAGCATTTACTGAAGCTGCCTCTGGGCCTAGTATTGGGCTAAATCCTCGCTTCTGAGCAGCTTACACTCTAATTACTGTAATTAGAGACCAATTGAGTATTAAACTCTGTGACAGTAAGTAGGAGTTGGAAGCAAGCGATCACTGTGGGCTGGGGTATTTGGGAGAGATCTCATAGAGATTGCAGGCCTTTGAGAAAAATAACACAATAATGTGGAGGTTTCCACCGCTGATACGGGAGCTTAGAATAAAAAGATCACTGATGGGGTGTTGGGGAATGTGGAAGGGACACATTGGGGAAGGTAGACGTTGGCTCTCCTGGGGTCCTGCCAGAGTCCCTCATCACAAAGAAAATGGAATTTCTGTCAGGTCGAAAGGAAATTCAGAGAGAGGAGTCAGAGATCTGGCTCAGCAGTTAAGATCATGTACTACTCTTGCACTGGGTGACTCCCGACTGCCTGCAACTCAGTCTCCAAGAGAACCCAATCCCTGAGCACCCGCATGCAGGTGCACATGCCTATATACAGATAAACACGGACAGACATACAGCTAAAAATTTTTAGGAAGGAAATAACAATCCCTCCTGAAACCATTTATCATCTGAATCATGATGGTAATATTGCTGATATTAAAAAAAACCAGAAATCCTTAATTTACTTTGGTCTCTAATATAGAAGTATCATTGAAGAAAATAACTTCCTACAGATGCCAGCAGAGGCCACATGCCGAGCTGAAGGCATGATGCTGCAAAGTCAGGATGGGTCGTTCCCCAAAGGCCAAAGCAGGAAGAGGGAGATAACCGGTGAGACCCCGCATAAGGATCAGCATGACAGAGCAGTCATAGTCCATCTGTTCATCTGCTCCAAGAATGGTGCAGAGCTAACTTGTGAGTTTCAATCTAAGTTATTATGGAAACAGCAATGGTTTATTTTCCTTTCATTATTAACTTTGCATTCATCTAAATGCTTCCAATAAACTATGAGCATTATGCGACAGAAACCCCATCTGATGAGTGAGTGCTGCGTGGAATGGTTTCTATGTGCTTTTAACTTGTCTAAAGAGAGAGAGAGAGAGAGAGAGAG